GGGGGAGCAAGAGCAGGAGCGGGCAGCCCACAAGAGTAGTAGTAGCACCAGTAGCAGTAGCAGTAGAAGCAGCAGTAGCAGGAGCAGCAGCAGGAGCAGGAGCAGGAGCAGGAGCAGGAGCAGTAGCAGGAGCAGTAGCAGTAGCAGTAGCAGTAGCAGTAGCAGTAGCAGTAGCTGTTGTTGTTGTTGTGGTGGTGGTGGTGGTGGTGGGGGGGTGGTGGTCGCGTTGTTATCGTTTGTGTTGCTGCTGCTGCTGCTGCTGCTGCTGCTGGTTGCTGGTTGCTGGTTGCTGGTTGCTGGTTGCTGGTTGCTGGTTGCTGGTTGCTGAATGCTGCTTGCTGGTGCTGGTTGCTGAATGCTGGTTGCTGGTTGCTGGATGCTGGTGCTGGTGTTCTTCCTGCTGCTGCTGCTGCTGGTGGTGGCACTGCTGCTGCTGAACCTATCGGCATCAGCTCTGGAGTCAGGGAATGATAGGGAATGCATTCGATCCGTGTCTTTGATGCACAGAGACTCAGGTTTGAGAAAGTAGCTCTCTTCGCTGCAGGCCTGCAAAGGGTAGGAGAAGAGGGCCAGCAGGCAGTAAAGGAGACGTGTGGCTGCCACGAGGTAGGTCTCCGGATAGCCCTGTGCTGAGACGAGTCTTGCGAGTTTTTCCTTTCCCCCTGTGGCACATCCACTTATCTGCCGAGACCCACTGCCCAAGGAGAAGGGGGCGCCATGCCTTCAGCACATCCGAAGGAATCTCGTTCCCGAACGTCCAGTAACCTCATGCTTCTCGCGCTTCGGCGAATTCCTACATCCTAAGTTTGGCATTGTTCGCAGAAGTCGCACAATTGGTATTGCATTGAAGGATCCTGAACAGCATGATCCCATGCCGTTGCTTCACCTCAACATACGGAGCTACCTGCCTCGCTGCCAGATGCTGCCAGCTGAAAAAATTGAAACCCAGCGGAAATACAATAATGGCTGCTGCCCAGCAGCCCAGCACCGCTGCAAAGCAGAAGGATAAGCCGGCGATCAGATACTGAGCAAGGCTGACTTTGAGGTACAACATGTCTATTGGCGCATGGAAGCTCTTGTGCCGGCTATTGCCAGACATATCTGGGATTGAGGCCTGTTGCCTTACTTCCTGTGCACGCAATATCGCAGAGCACAAGCCCCACCATAGCCATAATAGCTCACCACTGCTTTTCGACCCGATGCGCATCACAGTGACACAGCGCCTTTCTTGAGCACCAATCAAGTGCTACATGTATTGTCCATGAACAGGGTGCTTTTTCCGTTGGCTTGCAATGACAACCTCGGGATGATGGGTGTGTGAGTGCGTTGACTTCCAAGACTGAGTGACAGGACTGTCAGTCTAAGAGGTGCAGAAACATCATCAACTGAGATTACAATTACAAGGACCCAGCCGCGGCGACAATGATCCGGTCGATACGACCACGAGTGGAGTTCTTGACCTCGCTGCTTCCAAAATGTGGCTGTGACTGAAACCTCGCCGCTGACCGCACCTCGTTGCAGATTGAGAAGATGTTCTGCTGACAGGTGAAGGCAAAGATGAAGACCGGCAAAGCCTCTCCACAAAGATGGTGCCAGATCTGACAGCAGGCCCCTCGGGTTCCTGTTAAGACACACTGAGGAAGCGCACCGCAGTCCGTGGAACACTGCAAAGACAAAAACACACACACACACACACCAAAAAAAAAGGCAAACACGCTTGGCAGTTCAGAATGTCTGGCTCTTTGGGTTCGAAGCCAAGTCCGCACCCTCTGCTCCACACACTCAGGCCAGAACTATCCGAAACTTTCCGCTGCCCTCCCTTTTGTCTCACACACGGCCGAGAGCAGCGGTCCGAGGTTTCAAGTGGCCACCGCGCTTCCTCATCAGTCTCTACGGGATGCTCGGGATTTCTGGGCTTAGGGCTGTAGCATGGCATCGGGATTTGTTTGGGCGAGCACTTGGGTTTGGCAATTCGTCGGCGCCTAGCGCGGCTGGAGGCTTGCATGAGCTATGCTGTCAAATGGTGGAGCTATCACTCTTACACTGGGCGTGATGCTCACGACATGATGCGGCTTGAAACTACGGTTCACAGTGCTCAGAATCATGGCGATGCTCAAGTCAAAAACGGCACCATCATCGTCATCGTCATCGTTATCGTCATCATCATCATCATCATCATTACAACCATGACAATCAGAGCCTTCATCTAGCATCACCATCGCCGCAGCCATGATCGTTGCATGCATCGTCTTCGTCACAGAAGACATCTGGATCCTGAACTATGGCATCGCGGAGCCGTGTCGAGGACCCAGCTGGTCTTCCCTTCGAGCGTCTTTCGCCATCTTCCGAATCCTGCAGAAATCGGCTGCGGCTGCCAAACTGACAGGCCTCTGAACAGTCTCAACAAAGCACAGCTTCGCTTCCGGCGGAGTCCTCGGGAGCATCCGTTCGCGGAGACTCTGCAGCGACTCGCTGAGCTCTTCAATCGTCGCGGTGCCTGGGAGCCCCGTGGAGCCGTGGCGGCGGATCTCTGCTGAGCCGTGATGACGTCCTAGAAAATTGTTGGGAGTGGAGTCCTGTGGCCGCCGCTTCTTGCCTGCTTCTCTGCCTCCCCTCTGCACTCACCTCTTGCGTGCTCGACCTTTGATGTGCAATGGCTTTTTTCTGCAGGACAGTTGTGCGCTTCTAGGCACCGCTCACCCTGGACCCCCCACCCCACCCCACTCCACCCCTGCCAGCACACTGCAGGACAGTTCGGGCAGGGCAGGTGCTTTTGTTTGAGGCGGGGAGGGGGGGCGGAGCGCCTCTACTACTACCCATCTCTGCCATCTTACAAGAAATACCTACTGCTACTTCTGTCGCGGATGCGCCAAGCACTGAACAGAAAAAATTGTAGCAGTACTCAGGGGGGGAGCTCTACTGCTACTTCTGTCGCCGGTGCTACAAGCAATCTGAAAAGAAAAGCAGTAAAGTACTGACGGGGTGGGGCGTTATCAAAAAAGAAGAGAAGTGCCTGATAACGACTTTCGCGCGTGCTTCCTGCGGGCTTTAACAGTTAAAGGTCTTGTTGACATTTCGGGACCCGGAAAAATCTCAAAGTTTAGGTGCCAGTGGGGTGCGCCAAAAGCCTGCCAATATTGGATTGTAATCGAGCGCGGGGTCACCACCACCCCTGGGTGGTCCCAGTCCCAGAATCTCAACATCAATCTGGACTAAGTGTTGTGTTGCTGGTGTAAGCCTTGTTCTTGTACTTTCGAGTATGACTGCGCATGCGGCTTCGATTCGGCCAATCTGGTAATGTGATAAGTTGCAGGACCGACACGGCTGGGTATTGACTGTAGACCCGAACCTTCGGACGCAGCCTTAAAGGGAAACCAGCCAGAGAAAGCTGAAGCTCTGAGAGCTCAGGAATCAAGCTCCAGCTGAGGTGTGAAGTCTGAGCATCTGCGGAAGGCAATGTAAAGCCCAATGATGCTGCCACGCGGAAACTCAACCCACAAAAGATAAGATGAAACGGACCCGAAGTCACTGATGGTCTGTGAGCCCGGCTGTGCACATTCAGGTACGGGCCCTCTTCTGAGATTCGCACGCCAGAATGGCGGAATATCCAATGCTCGTCCATCATCCATCCTGCGGAAAATGCACCAAGTGCTCCAAACAAGCTGGAGACATGTGGAGGAAGTCTTCAGGAGCACAGCACTCGGATGCCTCTTCGGACGCTTGGCGGCCTTGCTGGGTGCCTCCGCGAATGCGACAGCTTCCTATTCCGTTCTTGATGGTGATGATGATGATGATGATGGTGGTGGTGGTGATTTGATATGTCATGACTGATGATGATGCTGATGATGATGATGATGATGATGATGGCGGTGAGACTGTCACAACCCTTCCGGGCGTCTGAAATGCCTGAATTTCCCCTCCGGTTTCATCAGCAGCACCGGGAAAGAACTCAGACGCAAGATAGCCGCAGTTGTGACTTAGCCGCTAGCCCAACAAAGCATCACATAATCACGAGAAGTATCACCATGGTCAGAATTCCGACGTCGAGGCGATGGCTGAAAAAAAAAAACTGGGCTCGCACCGAAAGGTTTTTGCCTCTGCAAGCCAGATTGCTCGGAGGAATGTGGCCTGAAACTGAGTATGCCACACAAATACTGTCAAGTTAAAGGTGTTCTGGCACCTGATAGCAAGGTTTGAGTCAGTACGAACTGATTTACGCGATCGCGAACTTGAACATGGGCGAGGGTGGTCCTCTGCAGAGAGTGACGACTGGCCATGCGAGTCTGGGATTCTAACTTGGAAGGGAATCCTCGGAATCCCGTTGAATCCAAAAGACTGAATCAGGTACCCTGAATAGATAAACTGATCTCCAGAGTCTTCAGTCGGTTCTGAGCACAGGACAATCCTGTACAGATGGCACTCTCGCGTCATGTTCACGCCGAGAAACGTCTCGGTGTGCCGCGACGGCTCTAAATGGGATGGCTGCTTTGCAGGTCCTCGTGTCCATCATGGACTCTGGCGCTGCTGCTTGGCAGCAACTTATGAATGAACCGCAGGGCTGCTTAGCAGCCCAGCGGAAAGACCACGCTCGTGACGTCGTCCTGAGCTTCGGGTGCTGCCAGAGCATGCCACTGCCCCATCACAGCCCTTCTGAGGTGCCAGCACGGTAGCCGCCGCCTGGGTGCAACGGTCGAATTGCTGAGGAAGTTTCAGCGAATGACCTGAGCGGCTGACCTGTTAGCGAGGCCCAACCCTCAAACGCGGCTGTTTGCAGCTTCGCCGTGTCTGCCTCTGCAATGCCGGGAAATGTGATGCTACCGAAAAGGCCTGCACCATACTGGCACCCTGGTCGGCCAAAGGGCTTCCTGCACCAGAGAGGGCAGGTCCTTCAGCCCCACCACCTCCCAGATGCCTCAGGCTGCAAAGCAGAATGAGCAGCGGCTGAAGGAGTCGGACCATGAAGGTCGCAGCCGTCGCTCGCCAGCACAACTTTAGCCTCGTGCTGTGCTGCAGGTACGGGGACATCCATGCAGACCTGGTGGAACCCTGACACATGTCGCAGGGGGCCTCCTTGCCTTCGTGCAGGTGCAAGTGTCGCACCTGGTAAACATGAGCAAGCATGTGAACCCTACCAGAGAACCCTTGCCAAGCCTGCGGTGTGGCGATAATTCCACAGCACTTGGCGGCGGCGTCGCCCAACGCCCGCGTCACCCCCAGTCCCGGCCCGCGCTGGCCGGCTGCGTACACGCGCGCCACCTGCTCCTCGGGCGAACTCGCGGATAAATCGTGAGACACAGTCACCCACGTGACACAGGCAGGCTGTCGCTTCTCATTGTTTTCATCCCCGGCCTCCACACGCACCTCGCCCCCGCTGCGCTCCACGCGAGCCTTCTCCTGTCACCAGATGGAGTCACACCGGCACATCTACAATTAGCTTTCGGACGTCATCGAGAAGCTGGTGCGAAGGCCTCGGGGCAGCTTGGCTTGTGGTCCGAGGTAGCAAAGACCACCTCATTGTCCTAAGACGCCATGGTACACGTCGGATGCCCTCTTACCAAAGGGCCAGCGATCAGCCTTTACACGAAGCTTGACCAGTCGTTGATTGGACAAGGGCTAGGGGTGCGACCTCCAAGAGGACACATCTGCTGTCACCAGCATTGGCTATCCACACGCTGCTTCCCTTCCACAGGGCCGCCACCGCCTCGCAGGCAGTCACGGTCAGGTACGATCTCATTGAACAATGCAAAGCGACAAAAGCACAAGGTGATTCGTGAAGTCTTGAGACTGTGTTTCGGGGCTCTGATGTGCAGCCGACACACCGTGCAGCCACTGTCGGTGTGGTGGCTCAAATCATCATCGGCCTGCAGGAGTCTGTTGTGTCCGGTTCGCCTCAAGTGCCAGAAAGCAGCTTCGCCTTCTCGAAGGCCTGGATCAATGCCTTCGCAGCGTTACGGCTCACCGGGTGGAGCTTGGGGTGTTCTTCTGAAGCTCATTCGTGCCACACCCATTGCCGAATGTCCGGTCTGATGCAGGCAGAAATCGGCCTTCTCAATCGTGGCCTCTGCCACGTGCTCGTCGCCAAATCCCAGTTCCAGAAGCAGGAACGGGATGAGTTGCGCGGCTCTCGTCGCCGCTACGTGGCCTCGGAAGAACTAGGCCACAGGGCATGGGGCGAAGCTCACCCACGACCCTTGCACATTCGCGCCGAGCAAACGGCCCTTCTTGCCGTGGCCATCGAGGACGCACGCAAAGGTGCATCCATTCTTGAAAACAGTTACACAGAAGTTGTCCTGGTTCGGGCCCTTGGATGATGCCTGCGCCATAGACAGAAGAAGGACCAAGCCACATCAGTCACAGCAAACCGTGCGCGAAGAGTTGCTGCAGTACCCATACCTTGCCTTTTCACCCTTCCTTAGCAACAGGACGCACTCATGAAGGCCCCCGATTATCGTGCCACCCAACTGCCAGCGACTGAGAACGGAAGATGCAAGCCGAAACTCTGGCAGGCAATCATCTCCGG